GTACATGCATTTTGCATCGTGATTTTCGCACAAAGGCATATCCTGAGTTAGGAATTGAGATCAGGATTTCTCCCGGTCTAAATTCTTGACTTGGATGACTAGGCATGTAGTGGTTATATAGGCTGGTGATAGCATGCCAGACTTATCCCCTTTCTGTCTTTTATATCCTTGGCCATAATAACATACACTCCACTTGCTCAACATCTACTCTTCTCTTCTATGCCTATCTTGCTCACTGCCTTCTGGGGATCAAGGCTGTGAGATGTGCATCAATCTCAGCATCAACATCTTTGCAATAGCACATGGCTACGTATTTCTTTCCTTTTTATGTTTGGATCTAGTTTAGATTAGAGAGGATTCACAAGATTATTGTAGAGGTGATTTTGTAGTTCTCCACTTTGGCGACCACGGTGGGATAGGCGAAGTAAAGAGCACCCAAAGAATAAATACTGGAAGCCTTAGCCACAACTAAAAGAAGAAGCTGAAGTCAAGAATCAAGGGAAAAGTAAAAAAGAGACAAAAAGAAGAAAATCGACAAAAATCTACAGTAAGAAGCATGGCAATCATGCTAGAGACCAAGTGTTTAAAGACTACAATCATCTAGTGATCGCCCACTTCTCAGAAAGTCTAAGCATCTTCCATAACCACCTCTTGGTAAGAGGTTGAAGACAAAGAATATTCTACACATCAGAATATTTGAAGAATCTCCGACAAGAAATCAAAACAAGCAAGTGTTAATGAGTATGAAAACATGAAGAACACTTGAAGATTGAAGCCACCCAAGTCGTGGAAAACTTGGAGTGTGAGCATAATTGCTTTTAGCAAGAGGTTGAAGAAAATGGAAATTTCAAGAATCTGCAACAAGGAAATGACCAAAGAAAAATTCTAGCGAGGAAGAATGAAAAAGCATGACTGCCCATTTGGAGACACAAGCTGTACAAGATACGAAGATTGCCTTTTGTGTGGTTTCAAAAATTGTGCAAAACCATACAAGCAATGCTATCCAAAATGGCAATGTAACATTTGCAAGCAAGCAAAAGAAAGACTCCAAATCAGGGATGAAAATGCTACAGTAGAAGAGAGAAAGAAACGGGAAGAAATAGCCCAAGAAGATGACACTAAAAAGAATAACGATAGTTTAGAAAAAGAAGAGAAACAAAACTTCGGTTGCTTTCAAAAACTTCAAGAAACACTTTTGCGACTCTTTTACAAATTGTTTAGCAAATAGGAAGAATGTGAAAATGAGGAAATGTTGAAAGAAAAACATATTTACTTCGATTTCTTTGCAACTCAAAGAACCCTGACTTGGGTGTATCGCGGACATATCTTTCAACAAACAATTATCGAATTCCTAGGCATACATAAACATGAATGAATCTATTAACACTTGTTTTCAACATTGATTTGACAAGACTTTTAGCAATAAGAGTGTGGAACCTTTGAACCACAAGTTCGTTGGTTTGTTGACACACTTAGATTTAGAGATTTTGAAGAGAATGCAAAATTACTTTACCGACTTCTTCAAAGTCCTCTGGATGTAACACTACCAACAATGTAGTGCATGTGATCATGGGATGAGATTTGAATATACTGTCACCGTGCATCCTTGGCACCTTGGGAGATAAATGGGGATAAAATAGCCATTAAGGGCTCTCTCATCAAGCAATTGCCCTTTTTCCAGTTGGCTTAAGGGGAGAGAGATGGGGTGTGCTACAATTGGTATCAGAGCAAATGGCACGGGTTCGATTCCATTGATTAGTGGCTACTTAAAAATATAATATACCCTTGAGCAAGGTATATTCCTACCCCTAAATTTGAAATCGTACGTATTGGGCATCCATGCGTACGTCCTTCTTCTTGTGTGGAGTATCCACAGACGAAGGTATCCACTGTGGGACTGCGGTATAGGTGGATGACTAGTTGCCTCACATGGAATAACTAGTCTACATAATGGAAAGATTGGTAGATTCAGTGTGGAAATGGAGGTGCTGGTTCCCCTTGGCTTAGTAGGGGTTGCTAGTAAATAGTCAATGAGGACATTGACATCATGG